TTTATCACGATTTCTGTGGATTTCACACACGGGCCTTTAAATGCTGATGAAATTGTGTGTGTGTGTGTGGGGGGGGTGTGTGGTGATGCAGCTGGCAGCACCGTTGTCTCGCAGCAAGAAGGTTGCAGGTTGGAATCCCGGATGCAACCTTTCTGCCTGCAGTTGCCGTGTTCTCCACATGCATGTGGTTTTCTCCCACGGACCAAAAACGTGCATGTCAGCCTAAAACTTTACGCTTTTTTTCGTAAAAGCATCTGCAGAATGAATGAACAGAAAACCAGGCACTCTGATTGGCTGAGGCTGTATCCGTCTGTCTCGCAGGTTCTCTGGTATCTTTCTGTGTGACGATATTCACCAAAGCTGCGAAGACCATTGAGCTTTTTAATATTATTGCAAAGAGAAAAGAAAACATATGAGTGACCCTAGCCGAGCCTCTGCTTTCTTCTCTCCAGCCCTAATGGCTCCACACCTGCCCAGGTCATTTCTAATAACAGACAGCACCATGAAGCACGTGTTGCTGAAGCGCGTGACACGTCTTCGACCGGTGGACCAGAGCGAGTGGTTTCTTACTAAGCGATGAGTCTTGTGGCTGGTCTTTTGAACGGGTCACCTCTTCACGCTCCTCTCATCGCTGCACTTCAGCAAACTCCGATTCATCACGGAGGGAAACCGTCTCCAACCTGAAGGAGACGTCAGCCATGCTTCAGCCAGCCCTCACATGGCCACGTCTCTCTCATAACTCAGAATCAGCCACTTTTACAACTAACTGGGGCTCATTTAATTTTATTTATTTTTTTAACCTTTATTTATCCAGATGCGTGGACTGAGAACTCATTCTCATTTCCAACGACGATCTGGCCGAGAGGCAGCAGCAGCAGACACATAGTTAGCTTTACACCAGAGAACAACAGGTAGGATAAAACCGTCAGACATGAAGACAAAGGACTGTTCTCATATATAATATGTACAAACAGTCAGAACAGACTAAAACTGTCTTTAATACTCAGAAACTATTGATCACCATGAATTATTGAAGGTAGATAATGGAATGTAGCTTCAGTGGTTTCTGCAGCTCATTCTACTGAAATAGCTCTTCTTAGGGTCTCTAATGACCTTCTGACTCAGTGATGCAGGGGACTGTTCTGGTCCTGCTGGACCTGACTGCAGCCTTTGACACAGTAGACCATCACCTGCTACTGGAGAGGCTCAGAGACTGGGTAGACCTATCAGGAACTGCTCTGGAGTGGTTCTCCGCTCATCTTTTCTGAGCGCTCCTTTTCTGTGGCCGCCTCCAAGTTTAGGTCCTCCCACCACCTCCCTTACCCATGGTGTCCCACAAGGTTCTGTGCTGGGGCCTCTGCTCTTCCTCCTCTATGTGCTTCCTCTTCAGCACATCCTGAGCTCCTTCAAAGGAATCTCCTACCATCTTTATGCAGATGACATCCAACTGTACATCTCCTTTAAGCCCCATGAGATGTCTAAGCTGCAGCTGTTACACACCTGCTTAGATTCTAATTCCATTTTTAGTTCTTTTTAAAACACAGGAAAGGTTTTTCTTTACCTGATAACATTTTGTTTGCGGCTGCAAACATCGTCAGAGCTGACGCTGATGGTGGCGTCACTTCCTTCTCTGCTGCCCGCAGATAAACAGACACTGTTTACTGGTTGACAAAGATAAACAAGATCCTGGTTCTGGTCTATAGGGCCTTACATGGACAAGCACCATCATACATTGGTGAGCTTCTCAGTCTCTACACCCCCAGCAGGTCCCTGAGGTCCAGTGATCAAAGCCTACTGGTTGGGCAGCGCCAGGCTAAAGGTCAAAGGTGACAGATCATCTGCTGTTGTTGCCCCCAGACTCTGGACCTCTCTCCCCCTGAGCCTGAGATCAGTGGACTCAGTGGTCTCCTTTAAACTCACCTGTTCAGGATTTGGTGGGACCTTCATCACCAGCTCTCCTTATTCTGCTCTTATTCCATATTTCCTGGGATCCACACATTTCTCTTTCCTTATATTATAATTATTTATCACAATTTTTATTAAAATTTTCTCTCATTTAAAACATATTAATCATTTTTTTAAATCTTTTTATACTTAATGATTTTTTTTTGTGATGCTCTCCGTGATTTGTATCTTCAGTGGCTCCATATAAACAGTGGTTTTCTTGGAAAGGGGCACTAGAGTCCAAACGGATTGCTGAGTGATAAATGACATCGAGTTTATGAAGAAGTTTTTAGGTAGCGGTCCTATAAATGATGTCACCGTCATCTAAGATGGAAGGATTGTCATGTTGACCAAGGTTTACTTTGCAGAATGAGTAAAGGATGACCTGTTGCTATAGAAACCCAATTCTTCACTTGACTTTAGAAAGTAATGAATTCATGTGCATGTCAGATGGAAGTGTGCTGTCAGCCAGATACCCAGATACTTACAGGAACGAGCTGTAGCTCTGTTCCATCCAGGGAAACAACACTAGGGTGGAAAGTTATGGTTGAAGATCATGAACTGTGTTTTATTTGTGTTTAAATGAAGATGAAGGTTGGAGAAGGCTTGCTGAGTAAGGATGCTGAACAACTTTGTAGAAGAACAAACATCAGAGCATTTCCTCTTTTACTCCAGGATGAAATCGTTAATCTCTTGAATCCAACCTTCTGTTTAAACGTAGCAGAAGGTCTTTGTTTCTGGAGTTCCTCCGCTGCTCTCACATCTGGGTTTTTCTTTGGATTGGTGGATTATGATATTTTGTTTTCTCAGGGAAACTGCGCCGGCGCCAGTTCTACTCCCAACCGTTAGGAAACGGTCGGGTCCTCACCCAGGGCTCCACCTTCACCTACCAGGATGTCCTGGACCGGCTGCTGGTCTACGTGCCGGAGACGGTCAACGGGGGGGTTGACGAAATGGGCTTCACTCTCACCGACGGCGTCCATACGCACACGGGCCGGCTGGAGTTCACCATGGACGTCAGGAGGACCGAAGGTCCTCGAATGACCATCAACAGAGGCCTTCAGCTTCCAGCAGGTGGGTCTGAACCCGTTTCAGGAATGCTGACAGATCCGTCCGATACAAGTACAGGAAAAAAAAAAACATTGACCGCACCTGTGTAGCACCTTTCTGAGTCAGAGGACTCCAAAGCGTTTTACACTACAGTTTATCATTCATCCATTCACACCCTGGTGAGGATGAGCTACAATGTTGCCACAGCTGCACTAGGGCGCCCTGACCGCCACCAGCAGCGGTCAGAGGTGGAGAACAAATGTGTGATGGCTGATGGGACTTTACAGGGTTAATGGAAGGCCACCCAGCCCCTGTGGCCCCCGCGGCCAGAAGACTGCAGCACGTACCTGGTGCTGCAGTCTTCTTCCAGCATGGCTCCTGCACCCTTTAATTCAATTCAATTCAAAAATACTTTATTAATCCCAGAGGGAAATTAGAGTTTCAGTACACACAATTCTGAGATCAGACATACGTACATAGACATATGACAAGAATTGGTGACTGTGGTCATTCGCAACCCGAGTCGTGCTACCTTAATAGAGAACAGAGGGTTTATATGAGGATCGAATCAGGGGGAGGAATAAAATGCATTTCAGAGTTACCCTCAACAGAGAGGATAGCTTTGCTATGCAAAAATCACCTCAGACAGATATGCAACAGACTTCAGACATTACACAACATAAGTGTCCACTAGGTGGGGAGGTAGGTTTGGGACTCTCCTCACTTCAGAGCGTGCAGCCGCATGGAGCAGCGCTCATCACCTCCGTTTGGACGGGAGGGAGATAATGGGTTAGAGAGCAAATTGACTCCTAGATACGTTTCCACGGCCTTCACCGGTCACAGTCCTGCCCAGGCTGGGATAGGGAGACAGGGTTTCCATAGCGACGGCAGCATTCCACATTTCTTCTGAGGGGGGAGTAATCGCTTCAGCCTCACAGGCTCAAGGGCACCAGATTCAGATAAGAACTTTTGGGTTTTGGGTACAGACAGAGATAATTTCCTCTCTGCCTTAGTGTTCTGTTGGTCTTCAACCCCTCTAGATCCAATAATGGCATACTTAATCCATCCCAGTTCGAGTTGATCCGTCAACTCGCTCCTTGATGGTATCCACCTTCTGTGCCAGAGCCTGAATCTCAGCCAAAGTTCCAAGCTTACGACTCATCTCGACAATTATATGAGTTTGTGCATTCACAGCGCGGTGTAATCCATCCCTGAGCTCCGGGATTGAGCCAATATTCCTCGAAAGCTCGTTAATTTTCTGGTAAGCCAGGTAACCACTCAGGCCAAACAGCAGGAATCCCGACACCAAAACGACGAATATCCAGACATCTTCAGAATCCTCTACAGACAGTTGAGAGAGGCAGATCAGGTTCCACTGTTTCCAGGAGTCCATGATATGCCCAGCTGGCTCTGTCTTAGAGGGGCATCCAGGAGCCCCTTCTCCCATTCTCACCGTTGAAAATTTTGTCAATTGCGTTGAGAGACCAACTGACCAGATCCATTTTAATCATTTCCAGTTTACAGAAAAAATGCAGAAAGCGCCGTGCACAGGCAGACAGGACAGAGAGCTTTGGGAGGAGGAGGAGGGAGGGAGAGGAGAAAAAAGCGTCTGTACTCTCCAAGAACCGGAAGACCATGAACACAGCTGATTGGTTTAGTTTAGTGGTGAACTGCTCCTGTAGACACTAGGGAAGGCTGGCAGACGTTTCAGCTACTAGAGTGAGGCATTAAAAAGGTGAAGGCTCAGTGAGGAGTTGGGTTTCTAAAAGAAGAGATCCAGACCTGAATCCCAGTTAAAGGAACGTTGTGTGTTTTTCAGGATCGTCGTCTAAAATCACCGAGCAGAACCTGAAGGGTTCTGACATCGACTCGGACAGCCTGAAGCTGCGCTACGTCCTGACCAAAGACCCTCCGGTGGGCCGACTTCTGCTCAGCAGGACCGGACACCCGGAGAAGGTTTCTGTCAAAGGTCCAGTCCAGAGCTTCACCCAGGACGACGTCAACAAAGGTACGGGCTGGGCTAAAGGCAGATTTCCTGTAAAACCTCTTCATTTTGTATTAAAACGGACTAAATAGTTAACAGAGCTGTAATAAATCTCTCAAGTTTACGTGGTCAGATTCATTATTATTGCTGTCAGCTGCTGGTGGCAGAAGCTGGTGTGGTCCACCACAGAGGAGCTGCTCTAGCATGATGACTTTAATTATTCTACAGGTTATTGTTCAGACTTCTGACGCACACACACACACACACACACACACACACACACACACACACACACACACACACACACACACACACACACACACTCGAGTGTTGGTGAGCGGCTGCATCTGACTGCTTACGCTCCGTGTGTGTTTTTATTTCTGCAGTGGGACAAACTCTCCTCACACCGTCCAGAGTTTTTTCTTTAAAGCTTCCATTAAATCCTCCGTGCGGACACATAACGAGCTTCTGCGCAGTATTTGTTCTGCGGGAATGAAAGTTTCCATCACGGAGAAAGTTGGGCGGATGCGCTTGTTTACATGTTTGCCGCGTGAGGGACGGGAGGGGATGCCATGCTGCAGGGTGGCGGAGACAGACAGCTGGTGGGATCAGCTCTGAAAGGCATTGATCACAATGAGCAGATCGTGTTTTCTTCACGGAGATCAGATGCACATTCCTCCTGAACTCGACTGTTAAACGTAAGCCACAATGCAGGATCAGACAAGGATGTGTGTGTTTTAGTGTTCCTCTGAATCAGTTGGACGTACTTGAACGTTTTACTGGATTATAGGTGTGTGTGTGTGCCTGAATATGCTATGGGTGGTGCTCCTAATGGATAAATAAATATTCGTCTTCTGGTCGGTAGCCTAAATGGTAAATTGCCTGTATTTGATATAGCGCCTTCTAGAGTCCTGGAACCCCCCAAGGCGCTTTACAACACAACCAGTCATTCACCCATTCACACACACATTCACACACTGATGTTGATGAGCTACGATGTAGCCACAGCTGCCCTGGGGCACGCTGACAGAGGCGAGGCTGCCGAGCACTGGCGCCACCAGTCCCTCCGACCACCACCAGCAGGCAACGTGGGTTAAGTGTCTTGCCCAAGGACACAACGACAGCAACAGACTGAGCGGGACTCGAACCTGCAACCTTCCGATTGCGGGGCGAGCTCTTAACTCCTGTGCCACCGTCGCCCCCTAGGAACCAAAATGTTAAAAATGGAACGATGGTGGACACCCGCGGTTAGGGATGACGTCAAGCTGAAGAACGAGTCCTATCGGGTCTTTTTGGCCTGTATGACGCCAGAAGCAGCTTATTTTGTACCGGCAGGCCAAGAGGAACGCCGCTGGGGTGGTCGTCCAGGCAAGAACCTGGGTGTGGGAGGAGTTTGGTGAGACCGTGGAGCAAGATTCCCATACGGCTTTGAGGAGATTCTGGTCCGGCATCTGGCATCTCAGGAGGGGAAAGCAGGGCCTACCAGCACAGTTTACAGAGGGGACGGTGTGCTGCTGACCTCCACTCAGGACGTTGTGGATCGGTGGGCAGAATACTTCAAAGACCTCCTCAATCTCACTGGCACGTCTTCCAGTGAGGAAGCAGTCTGGAGACTTTGGGTTGGACTTCTCCATCTCCGGTGCCGAGGTCACTGAGGAGGTCAAAGAGCTCCGTGTGTCATGTTGTCCCTGCCGTAGCCCGTCATCCAAGTGTAAAAAACATCCATGTGTTTAGCTCGCCGCACGCGCACATTTAACATCCAAGTGTAATCTCTAAACCCCCCCCCCCCGTGCTTCATAAACAATCAGCTGCTGCATGATGACAAATGTTTACAAACATCTTCATGAAACAGCCTTCTCTCTCTTTATCAGTATAAAACACGATTAGTGAGTCCACATCCAGACACAACCATCCTCAATGCCTCATGATCTGCAGCAGCTGAGGTGTTGTTTATTTGTTTGTTTGTTTATTTATTTCTCAACAACACGCCCACTTTCAAATGAAGCACACTCCCCTTCTTCTGACATTTTTTCTTTTCTCCTTTTGAAACTATTTTGTTGTGGTGAAGCGCTTCCTGGTTGGTGTTTTGAGAGGCGCTGTGTAAAAGTCCCGTCTTCTTGTGCTCCAGGCTTGCTGCAGTACCGCCATGAGAAAGGACAGAAAGGAGGCAGCCTGTCGCTCAAGTTCAACCTGGTTGACCCAGAAGGCAACAAGCTGATCGACCAGTCCTTCTTCATCAGCGTTCTCGGTAGGTTTCTCTGCTCTCTGTCACCTGCAGCCCAGAACTCACGGCTGAACTGTTCTTTCATTTGTTGGAGAGGACAGGGCAATTACACCAGATTTATGCTTCAGCCCTACGTGCCCCCGCCGCACGTCTAGCATACAAAACCTTCTCACAGGGTTTCTGTGGGAACTCCTGCATCTGAAGCTGCTTCACACCATTCCTCTAACAGTGTCATGGTGAAATTAGTTAGGTTTGATGCTCACAGACGATCCTTTTAATCCCTTTCGTTGGAACCATCGTCTGATCCGATCTGCAGACGAGCCGCCTGCAGAAAGTCCTGCAACTTTCAGAAGAGAGACGTTTTTACACAACATCAGCCCTCAGCTACAGACCCACACCTGTCCCAATGAAATAAAACCCTAACCTGCACGTTGTTACCTTCAAAACACAAATACTGCTAAGTTGTTTGTCATCTATATTAGGGCTGCTCAATTAATCGAATTTTAATCCCAATTACGATCTGAGTTTTGAACGATTATAAAAACAAAAGCCGATTATTTGCTTCTCCCACTTGCACTGCCCTGAGTTGCAAATGAAGCGCTCCTGCTGCCAACTTAGCGACTTTGACACTATTTCTAACGGCTTTTCAGACCCCCTTCTTGACCTTTTAAATCCTAAAAGTACCTAGCCAACACCTCAGAAACATCTCTGGTAACCCTTAGCTACTTTCTGGATAACTGTCGTTGACATTTCCTGCAGGTTAGCTAAAAACTCCGCCTGCGTTCGGACCGTCCTTCAGGACATTAGGAAAGGGAATGATGTAGTGATGTGCCGGTCGCTAAAGAATCGTCTCTCAGAGCCGGCTCACTCTTGGATTAACCAGAGTGACACACACCGTACCTGCAGGCTCATGAGCCGATAAAAACGGCTAAATGTGCGCGTGCAGCGCGCTAAACACACGTGCAGCTTGCCCCTGATTGCTGTGAGACCGGGTTGGGGGTGGAGCTGTGGTTGGGACAGTTATTACATTAACTGATGGACTTGTAAATAAATAGTTTATAAATAAGGTAGAAATAGATAGAAATAAGTTCCTCACACTGATAAATAATGACTAATCTCTCTGAGGACACGGTGCTAGTGTACTCTCCTACAGCACCTTGACATTACTCAATAAATGTTATGCAACATTTTGTGAACATCAATTTATTTGCATGTATTTGTTATAAATGCTACTGTATAATTCTTGCTGTCAGGATTTGCAAGATATTGGTATTTGGGTCTGTACTGGTTAGACTTAAATGAGTTAAACCAAGGTCTATAGCCCTTGGGTCATAGACTATGAGCTATAAGTATATTGATGTTTTTATACTGGGAATCAGGAGTTATTTTAGTGATCATCTTGTTTCTTATTTATTTTTGTCCTGATTGTGCCCTGAGCAATTTTATGACAGAATAAAAACAAATAAAATCAACATAAATTGAAAAATCGTCTTAAATAATCGAGATCTCAATTTCAGTCGCAATAATCGTGATTGTTATTTTTGCCATAATCAAGCAGCCTTAATCTATATTAGTTGTAACCACTGACCCTGGTTCTGTTTTCACTCAACACTTTGTACCACCTTTCTGTTGTTTTAAGATTTCTCTAGCTTTTTCCTTCCTGATTGGACTGAACTGGTATTTTTGTCCATAGAGGACCATCTCCCTCCATCTGTGGAGGTCAACAAAGGCCTGGTTTTGGATGAAAACTCCATGAAGAAGCTGACCACCCTGCAGCTATCGGCCAGCGATCAGGACAGCGAGCCAGGAGAACTTGTCTACCGGATCACCAAAGAGCCGAGCCTCGGGCACCTGGAGCACACTGCCAGTCCCGGTATGAGGGTTGGGGTTCTGAAGGGATCAGCTCAGGTCCAGTATGTCAGCGGGCTTCCAGCGTTGCAGAGGAGGTCTAAATACGTCTCACAACAAGGTGGAAATTGATAGGCAGGGGAATTGATTTATTTGTTTATTTTTATATTTTTACTGCTTGACATGGTGCGTTCAGGGACTTCTCAGTCATGCTGAAAATATCCTGATTCCATCTCTGTTACTGACATAAAAGAGGCGGTATTCTTACGTCGCCAAAGGAAGGCGTTAGTCCCAACAACAAATCAGCTGTTTTTCACGTTTTAATCTCAGCAGTGCGCGTTGACCTCAACTCTAGACATCAGTCAAGCGTTACGATTCAAGACATTTGTTAGACTGAACGGATCAGTTATCTTGTGTCCCTCCAGCCAAACGTCTGTTGGGAGAACCTCGAGAGGGAGTTGGCCTGGCTTCGTTCAACGCGTCCCACAAACGCATCAGTGCAACTTGGACCACCAGACCAAAGACGGGACGGGACTTTTTATGGGTTTTAGGAACAATTAATGCAGATTTATTAGATAATTCACTACAGAGTAGATGCTGGATTTAACCCTTAAAACGCCAAAGTCGCAATACGGCGACAAGCGTCATGGCTGACTTTAACGAGCCACAGCTTCAAATATGATCCGTCATGAAGTTACTACTTTACACCAGAAGAAAGTGGAGATGTGTAACTTCAGGCTGAGCAACGCTTATGGGTGAGTTTATGTTGAAACTTTCTGAGTTTTGAGGGTTTGAAAAACGCCTCCCGCCGAGAGATTCCCGGTCGGGAAGAGGACGAGAGGAGAGGGTGAGTATTAGAGGGATAAAACTTATAAAAGTCGGCAGGTGGGGTCTTTGTTGACTGATCTCGTTTCCAAATAAAGCCCCCTCTACCCAGAACGACTCCTTAAAGGTAAAATGTAAACGACAACCAATCACTCATATTAAAGTGTGTATTTATTTCTGACAGGAACCTCTCCTCTGTCCCGACCGCATTTACAACCTCTGCAACTTCTTTTGCACTTGGGCAGCGAGCGTCTCGACCTCGCAACAAAGTTTTCTTTCATTTTTCCCGGTAGAGCGCAGGGAATCCACATTTTTCATGCCATGGTGCACGCACGGGGGTGGGGGGGGGAGGTTGTAAGCGTGGCGCTGGAATTTCAGCCATGGTGCAGCGCCACGCCTGAGCCTATGTAGGGGAAACACCGGAATCCCCTCATGTGGTGAGGACGTAGTGTGACCACATATGATAAATTAAGGGCGTTTCTTTGTGTATGCCTAAACTGGAACTGGGCGTGGTTTAACTGGAAGTAGGTGGGGCTTCAATCACCACATTATTTTAAAGTTGAATTGAATATTTAAGTGCATGAATGAATGCAACTGAACTGATGCTGCAGGAAAGATGAATAAGACACAGTTTTAATTTAATTTTGTTATTTTCTGATCAAACTGACTGTTTTCTAACTTTCTTTGCATTTTTTCCCACAAAAAGTTAAACAAAACAAGGTGTGTGTGTGTGTGTGTGTGTGTGTGTGTGTGTGTGTGTGTGTGTGTGTGTGTGTGTGTGTGTGTGTGTGTGTGTGTGTGTGGTGGGTACAACTACCTATTATCAGAGCGGTCTGCAGACACATCCAGCTGCTGTTATTTATTTGTTGTTGGTGTTTATATAGAAATAAATGTATCTGCTGGGCTTAAGGCCCGGGGCACTTTTACACCACAGACCGACCCACTTTAGATCCTGACCTGTTATTAATATTGTCACGTATTCTTTACACCAATCAGAACATTCTGTAATGTTCAGACATCCAGACCTTAGAAATGAAATAAAGTCAATATTAAAATAAAAAATGATTAATATTCTTTTTCATTAGAGGGACTGCACACCATCTGCAAACATACGCTCCACCCCTAGTCAAGATTTGAAAAATGCCATGAAAGTGGGCGTTGCCAGGAAGCCATCCTGGGAGGGAGGGGGAGTGGGAGGAGACTGTACCGATGACGTGAAATAGTTCCAGCCCCAGCCAGTCGCACGTTTTACATGCAGTAGCCGCTGTTTTGCCACGGGGGGCAGCACTGAGACGTTTTTAGACCTAGATTCTAGATTTAATCAAGTTTACACAAACATGTCAAAAAATACACAGAAACAGAAAGATTGCATTTGTAAAGACCCAAGTATACAGTTTATAAGCACAAAAATGTTACTTTGGGGTTTAGTTACTCTTTAAAGATCAGTTATCCGAGAACACATTTTTAGATGAGACATCACCCAGCTGAAGCAGACATTTGCTTATTTCTAACAGAGCTGAGCTGTGGGAGAAAATATTCTGGCTTATTTCATCTCATTTTCCATCACCTGTGGGTTTAGTGCATTCACTTAATATTAATTATTAAACTATAAATAACAGGTCACTACAGTCTGGGCATGGAACGTGTGGCAGGGGTGAGGAGTGAGCACCACCTCACCCCTGCCACGTGGACCTCAACGGATAAACCATCAACCCTGCTCAACGGTCAGCTTTTCTGGCGAGGTCACCCTTGAGGACAGTGGGAGGGTTATGTTTATCAATAATTCAAAATGACTCGGATAGACTAAAAATAAAACCTCACTGTCTCTGCAGGAGCCAGAATCCCGTCCTTCACTCAGGCTGACCTGGTGTCACGCAGCATCCAGTATGTCCATACCAGCACAGAGGAGAAACACGCCGACCAGTTCTCCTTCAGCCTCTCAGACGGGACAAACGAGGTAGACAAGCAGAATGCGAGCAAAGGTTTACAGATGGGGCTCAGTATTCTACGACAAACATTTCAGTTTCCATAGAATCCAATGGAAACTTGAGATAAAAGCATCTGATGAATGAATAATATTTAAAGCATCATTTGTTTTTTTTAAAAAACTCTGTTTTTCATAACTGACCTGTTTTTCTTAAGCAGCAGAACAAATGAAGCCTCATTTAACTCATCCATCTTCAGCTGAATTTGGTTTTCATTTGGTCGCAGAAGGGTGGAACCAGGTGGGATCAGAGGAAATGACGCTTTTCTGTCCAAGTTCTTCACAAGACAAAACTTTGCCCTGAGCCCACTTTCTTCTTTGCATCTGAAAAGATTTTAGTGAAGATGAAGGTGTTCTAAATATGTTCATCCATCCATCCATTTTCGGCTGCTTATCCGGGGTCGAGTGGCAGGGCAGTAGGCTAAGCAGGGAGGCCCAGACTTCCCTTTTCCCAGTCACTTGGGCCAGCTCCTCTGGGGGAATCCTAAGGTGTTCCCTGGCCAGCCGAGAGACATAGTCCCTCCAGCGTGTCCTGGGTCTTCTTTTAATTCTTCTCCTGGTTGGACGTGCCCAGAGAACCTCACCAGGCAGGCGTCCAGGAGGCATCTTAACCAGATGCCCGAGCCACCTCAAGTGCCTCCTCTCCATGTGGAGGAGCAGCGGGTCTACTCCGAGCCCCTCACGGATGACCGAGGTTCTCACCCTATCTCTAAGGGAGAGACCAGCCACCCTGCAGAGAAAACTAATTTTGGCCGCTTGTGTCCGTGATCTCGTTCTTTCGGTCACTACCCAAAGCTCGTGACCATAGGTGAGGGTAGGAACGTAGACCGACCGGTAAATCGAGAGCTTTGGCTTCTGACTCAGCTCTCTCTTCACCACGACAGACCGGTACAACGCCCACATCACTGCAGATGCAGCACCAATCCACCTATCGATCTCACGCTCCAGTTTTCCCTCACTCGTGAACAAGACCCCGAGATACTTAAACTCCTCCACTTGGGGCAGGACCTCATCCCTGACCCAGAAAAGGCATTCTACCCTTTGCTGACTCAAGACCATGGTCTCAGATCTAGAGGAGTTGATTCTCAACTCAGCTGCTTCACACTCGGCTGTGAATCGTTTGAGCGAGAGCCAGAGATCATGTTCTGATAAAGCCAACAGGACTACAACTGCTAAAAGCAGAGACTCAATCCTCAGGCCACCAAAACAAAACCCCTCAACACCTTGGCTGCGCCTAGAAATCCTGTCCATAAAAGTTATGAACAGAATCAGTGACAAAGGGCAGCCTTGGCGGAGTAATGTCACAGGCACTCTGGGCAGATCTCGTCCAGCCCTGGAGCCTTGCCACCAAGGAGCTTTTTGACCACCTCAGTGACCTCAGCACCAGAGATTAGAAAGCCCAACTTAAAGTCCCTGGACCCTGCTTCCTCACTAGAAGGGGTGCCGGTGGGATTGAGGACATCTTCAAAGTTCTCGGCCCATCAATTCCACAACGTCCCAAGTCGAGGTCAACAGCACACCATGCCCACTATCGATAGTGTTGGTAGCACACTGCTTTCCCCTCCTGAGGTGCCAGATGGTGGACCAGATTCTCCTCGAAACCATATGGAAGTCTTGCTCCAATGTCTCACCAAACTCCTCCCACGCCTGCGTTTTTGCCTCCACAACCACCTGCGCCACATTCGACTTGGCCTGCTGGTACCTATCAGCTGACTCTGGAGTCCCACAGGCCAAAAAGACCTGATAGTACTCTTTTTTCAGCTTGACAGCGTCCCTAACCGCTGGTGTCCACCTGCAGGTTCAGGGGTTGCCGTCACGACAGGCACAGACAACCCTGCAGCCTTTGCTCTGGTCGGCCGTCTCAACAATGGAGGCAGGGGACAGGGCCCATTTGGACTCAATGTCCCCCGCCTCCCCCGGGAACGTTTTGGAAGTTCTGCCAGAGGTGGGAATTGAAGCCTCCTCCGACAGGAGACTGCCAGACGTTCTCAGCAGATCCCCACAATATGCTTGGGCCTGCTAGGTCTGGCCAGCTTCCTCCCCACCATCAAAGCCAACTCACCACCAGGTAGTGGTCAGTTGACAGCTCTGCCCCTCTCTTCACCCAAGTGTGCAAGACTTGCGGCCGCAAATCAGATAAAACAACAACAAAGTTGATTGAGCTACAGTCTAAGGTATCCTGGTGCCAAGAGCACATATGGACACCTTTGTGTCTGAACATGGTGTTCATTATGGACGATCCATGACAGCACAGAAGTCCAATAACAAAACACTGATCGAATTCCTCCCCACCACACCTCTCCAGATCTCACTGTCGTCGCCCACATGAGCGTTAAAGTCCCCTAGCAGAACGAGGGAGTCACCAGATGAAGCGATCTCCAGCACCCCCCTCCAAGAACTACAAAAAGGGTGGGTAGTCTGGGCTGTAGTTTGGTGCATAAGCACAGATCACAGTCAGGACCCATTCCTCCACACGTAGGCGGAGGGAGGCTACCGTCTCATTCACCGGGGTAAACCCCAACGTACAGGCACCAAGATGGGGGGCAACTAGTATGCCTGCGCCTCAGTGTGAGCAACTCCAGATTGGTAGTGTCCAACCCCTCTCATGGAAACTGGTTCCTGAGCCAGAGCTGCAGATGCGTTGGGGTGCGTCTGACTATATCTGGTCGGAACCTCTCAAACTCGCACACCGACTCAGGCTCCTTCCCAACCAGAGAGGTGATGTTCCACATGCTGGGAGCCAGCTTCTGTAGCCGAGTATGGTATAAACCAGCTGCGAAATTTTCAGGCGGGATGAGCTACGATGTAGCTAGAGCTGCTCTGGGGCGCACTGACAGAGGCGAGGCCTGCCTAACGCAGGTGCCACTGGCCTCCCTGACCACCACCGGCAGGCAAGATGGGTTAAGTGTCTTGCTCAAGGACACAACAGCAGCATTCTCTGGTCGGAGCCGGGATTAAACCTGGATTTAGTTTTTTTCCCCATTTATTTTATTAACCCTCTGATGCATGAATTATGAGATCTTCAACCATGATTTTTTAAACAATTTTTTTCATTCATCTTTAGATGTGAGTGAAACAAATTTCAACAAATATTTTTTGTACCATTTTGTTAATTTACAAATAATTTATTACATGTCCATCTCAGTGTACAACGTGCATTCTGAACATGAAATATGGTGGCTTGACTTACTGAAGTCCAAATGGAGGGGCTCACATGCAATAAAGTCTTCAACAGCTGTGCTTAATAGCAAAAATAAAGAAATAACAATTTTGAGTACCTGTCCACTGTAGTGACCATTATGCATCAAAGGGTTAATTCACATTAAATCAATATACGCAACGAAATTACTAAAACCAAAATGAAAAGTGGACAGAAAGAAGAAAAACGTATGTTATCTGGCCTGTTTAACTAAAATAACATTAATACAAATGAAACAGTATAATTCTAAATTTACTTTGAACAAAATTACTTCTTGACTGGTTTGCTAACACAGATTCAATCAATAAAGTAAAGAAAAAAGAAAAGAAGAGAAGACAAATAACACAGAAAGAAGATATGCATACATACATAAACACACATATGCATACATATACATACATATATATTAGGGGCTGCATGACTTAATTTTTTTTTCAAGAGTTGCACACTCGCACAGACCTTTTGAGTCTTGTTTCTCCCCATAGAAAGTATTTCCAGTTCATGTGAATCACTTTGGGTTCATGACATCTAAGAAAACGCTCATTGAGCTAAATCCACCCCATCGAACCTCCGGAGCAGCAGGTTGGTCTTCCTGAGTCGAGTCTAACCCTGATACACATCTGATCAGAATCGCCCCATTTCCTGTACTCGCTCACAGTTTTACCATTTCTTTTTCCCCTTCATGTGTCCTTCCCTTTGGCAGGTGGGACAGGGACCCCTGTAGCAACACAATCCACATAACTCAGCACACCTGTAATGTTCCTGCTTCACCTAAATCACTGTGAAGGAACTCCTGAGCTTTCAGAGGGGTGATGAAGTAGCACTCCTGCTTTGCTTCATGCATAAATCTGCCTTGCTAAGCAGAACTAATGAGAAGCACAAGGACTATAATAAACATGTAAAAATGGAGGTAATTTGGCCTTTATGCCTGAGTGGTTCTGTGCTTTCATTTCCATTCCCCCTGAAGTTAAAGAGGTCTGAGTTTCCTTTATTAGCACCGTGAGTGGTTTTATAAAACCGGTCACGCTGCAGAAGCTTGTTCAGCTTACGAGGATTTAAATGTTTCACCCTGAGAACACGTGTTCTTACACCTCTGCTTTATGAACATACTCTTGCTGGAGGCTTAACACCAACTGACCACTAGCAATGCATTCAGAGTGAACTGGTGGCGATCATCAGCCACTTAGTGGATTTGTGTTGAGATTAGAGGGGGGGGGTGGGGTGGGGTGGGGGGGGGGGGGGGGGGGGGCTAAAGCAACACTTGCATCGGGGCCCAGCACAACCTTGATACACCACTGTCATGTCATGTCATGAATATTCTGAAAGTATTCCTGCACCTTATTATCAGTTGTGTACTGTGTGTAGCACGTGAGCTGGGCTTTTAGAACCAATATGTGAAAACAACCCTGTCGGTCGGATGGTCAACATCCTAACAGAACAAGCTACATCTGTGGTAAACCATCACCTATTGCTTACTCTCCATCATTACTAAAGGACATCCATCAACTTCTTCATTTAAAAGATACTTGTGATTTTATGGAGCCTTCCTTTAAAGAAAAGGATAGAGACCTGATTTCCTTCTGAAACTGAATCCAAACAATTATTGAGCTAATTTATGTATAATAAATCAACACTGCCTCTTGACTTGCTCTCCATTTATATTATGGGCAATCTAACATGATGCCCGGGTTTCTCCACTGGTTCTTAGGTTGCTCAGACGTTCTACATAACCATCAAGCCGGTGGACGACTCGCTACCATTGCTCCAGATCCCTGGCATGAGAGTCCAGGAGGGTGTGAGGAAGACCATCACCGAGTTTGAGCTGAAAGCTACAGATGCAGACACAGAGGTGAGTCTCATCTGGGTGATCCAGGGTTCTGCAACTACGGCTCTCCGGACCTTCCCCAGTGGCTCCAAGGCACCATTAAAATAAAGAATTAGTTACAGACTGTCGCTGGAATCATTGCATTGGGTTTCCACACTGAAAGTCATGTTTTTAGATGTATTTATGTTTTTACATCATTTTTTTCTCAGTATTAAAGCCCAATAATCTGTATGATCCTCTTCCGTGGATGAGTTCAGAAATGTTTAATAGTCTTGTCTGAAGGTGCTGTAGAAGTTAGGTTTAAACAGGTTTATTCCAGTGGGCTAATGCTTCCCTACGGAGACATGATGTCACCAGAAATCCTTCCACTGAACCGTTTCCTTCACAAGGCCGAGTCTGTCACCTTCACCGTTGTCCAGCCTCCTCGCCACGGTGCCATTGAGCGAACCAGTAATGGCCAACACTACCGCCACACCAGCACCTTCACGATGGACGACATCTATCAGAACCGCATCAGCTACAACCACGATGGCTCCAACTCGCTCAAGGACCGCTTCACCTTCTCTGTGGCCGATGGCACCAACCTGTTCTTCATGGTGGAGGAAGACGGCAAGGAGGTGCGTGTGTGTGTGTGTGTGTGTGTGTGTGTGTGTGTGTGTGTGTGTGTGTGTGTGTGTGTGTGTGTGTGCGTGCGTGCGTGCGTGCGTGCGTGCGTGCGTGCGTGCGTGCATTAGTGGCTTGACCCTTCAACAGCTGATGTCAGCTACAGGCCTTTTAACATTTTTTCCTCATGGCTTTCCCTACAGGTCCATCCTGATATTTTACTGAGTTTTATACGTTTACGTTCTAAATGTTTCTGATATCGTTTTTTGCTTCAAAAGGACATTTTTTACCCTACGCTGAAGAGACATCCGTGTCGGCTGCAGCTCCGGTAGAGTTGTTGTTAAATCACTGCGTCAATCAATCAAAGCTTTATTTATAAAGCGCCTTCCGCAACCCTGTCAGGAAGCCCAAGGTGCTGAACATGGTACAGTACAAAGTTAAATAAAGTGAATAAATCAGAAAATAAAAGCAATTCAAATTACAGATTACAAATTACAAAAAAGGTGAAACATTCTAGTAGAAGACAAATGTGTAAAACAAGGGAAAAAGTGAACCAATGAAAACTGTGAGATAAAATCAACATAAAAGAGGGCCAAATTCAAACATGTTCAGGAAACGCCAAGCGGAGGAGGTGTGTTTTTAGGCGGCTCTTGAAGACTGGCAGAGATGGGGACAGCCTAACTGAGGGTGGCAACTGGTTCCAGAGAGACGGTGCTAGTGTTGGGGTTATTAGGAGCGAACAATTCGTAAGCTTTAACTTACTTTTGGATTCTTCAATAAATTCTGTAAATATGGAACTATTTACTGATTTATTAATTAATTAAGATATTCTTAGATATCTTCGGGGCACCACCCTTTAATTAGAAAGGGAAATGAATCCAAAACTCTTATCAGTCTTTCTTGAAGTTCGTAGAATCCTCGGAGCAGAGACTTCTCTTCGACACAACAAAGCTACTGGACACAAAAATCTGAATTTTATAACATTTAATTAACAATTTGTCAAATGAATAAACAGTGGAATAGATGAATAATAACCATGTGATATGATTGAAGATGGATGTGTTTGCATGTGATGGAGGATGTATGAATGGGGTCCTTTGTTCTCACAAAGGAGTAGTGTGTGTGTGTGTGTGTGTGTGTGTGTATGGATTCAAAATGGAGTCTTGAATACAAGATGGCTGACCCCTTTGTCTGGCTAAAGTGTGGGTGGCAACTTGCACTTTAACTTCCAAAGCACTTAGAATCAGTAGTAACTTAACCTTAAATCACTCAAAACATTTCAAAAGATCATGAAACAACACAAAAGATTAATCACGAATAATATCTTTTAGTTTAACCACGTGGCCAAGCAGAAAACATTTAAAGATACCAAACAATGATCAATAAGCAGTTTATTCTTTCAAAATGACCCGACTGACGTGTTTGGGACGAAAGAGGAAAGCACGAAGCTACTTTTTAAGCAATAGACGCGGTTTATTGCTTATTCGAGACTATAGAGGAAACGGGAGAAGGAAAGAATGAGAGAAAGAGATGAGTTTCTGATCACCAGAACAGTGAAGCGTCCCTCACTGTTTTGATTTGACGGTTCTCCGTGTTTCTCCGCAGCTTTCGGCGTCGTCCGTCGGTTTGATGCTTTCTCCGTTGTTTGGCGTTCACGAGTGTTTCTCCACGGGCTGGACAGAGACAGCAAAGTTTCTTTCTGTGCTGAGTTATAACTTACAGCGTGCTTGATGGAGTTGTTGCTTTCCTCCGCAGTTCTGTGTCCTCAAACATCAGCTGGAGGGGAGCAGAAACGAGCAGATCTGATGGGCTTGCAGTTTAGTTTCCAGCAGTTCCGTGGGCTCCACTTGTGCACTTAGAGCTTCCGCGTGCTCAAGGGAGTCGGAGCGTTGACAAGCGTGTCCTTACCGCCAGGTATCCTGGGCAAAAGAACGAGGATTCTTTGTCTCTGCTGAAGATTTATGGTCTTAGTTCGCGGGAAAAGCTCCACGGCTTCCCGCACATGCGCAGAACGTGTTTCTGGTACTAGGCGGTGACGTCATCACAATGCTTCCGTGTGCAAAGCATCATGGGAAATGAAGTTTCTTGGCGCTGATGTGATTATTTGCTTTTCAGAGCAATTTAAGCACAGTCATTTTGGAGAAAATCACTGCATAGTAATTTCCTCATGAGGTCAGACCCTCAACATTCCCCCTTTTGGTTTCGGGGATCGCGCCCAAAGCTCGATCGTCGGAAGCACAGATGGGTTTGTTCCTCATGAACGTAGGTCGACTTGATTGTCGGAAGCACAGGTGGGTTTGTCCCTTAGGACGTTGGTCTCCTTGGACGCCTTTGTCTTTGGTCTTTGTCTTGGATCCTGGCGCCTTTGGTCTTTGATCCTGGTCAGGCACAAAGAGGATAGGAAACGGGATAGTCCCCAACGCGCATAACGAGAAGAAGCCACTCACGCAGGTGGTACGCAATGAAGATGTCGTCCATGCGAGAGGTAGCAGTGTAGAAGGAGGAAGGTCGGTGGGCGGTTAACTCCACGAGTGGACACAAAGGCATCTCACCGCCGGCCATACAGTTCAGTTTATGGAGCACGCGGTGATGTACGAGGTCCATAGTTCGCAAACGCGCATTGACCTATGTGGTCCCAAGATTCCCCCCTTTTTGGTCCAAAGGGTGGATCAGGACAGTCTTTGGGCTAAAACAAGGACCATAAAACTAAGAGGTACTACAATGTGCTGGTGCGTCAGACAGAGTCATTGACAGACTGAGCTGGGCCGGCACATAACCACTAGTTAATATGTGACCAAGTAAGAAACAAAAATACAGAAAACCCAAAAAAAAAAACATATAACATCCAAGAAAATTCATAGCAACCTTGAGGTCTCATAAAATACATTCTTAGGTCATACAGTCAGTGTGTAGCTTATAAAGAATGTGACATACTGCAACACTCAGATAAATATGTGAGGTAGACTAAAATGAGAACTACTCTTAGGTTTACAGAATAACAAAGAAAATGTTGCTCACCCCCTTTAGACAGGTGTGGTACATTCACGCTTGGAGTCTCCCCGAACGCGGTTACGAGGCACACCGTAGGTGAGCAAGTGCATCTTATCTTGGAGTTTCTTAACACGCTTGTAGGCGGAATAAGCAATCACGGCCGTGATGAGCCATTCCATCCCCAGGGCGACCAATGTGCAGATTAAAGTCGTATAATCTGTGTCAATGTAGCGTCTTGGGCGTCAAAGTAAGTTCACGCGGGTTTTGTGTGAACTTAGCAAATTTGGTTCCTTCAATCAGTAATTGTTGGTCAATTTCTAAATCGAAGGCAAAGTTACAACCCAGGAAAGCGTCCATGATCTCAAACTCTGAGTCATGCTGTTCGAGGTTGAGGTGATGGAGTGTCAGGTTTCTAGTTCAAAGTGGAAATGCCTACCGTCCTTTCAAATACCAATGTTCAGCATCGACCTAAACCTATAGATGTGAGGTGTCACAATTATGGGAACGTTTAACAGGAAACCGAGTTCTAATTTTTTTTTTTCAACGTGAATGGGCATTGCACTACTTAGGCTGTACGCTAGGTGGATTTGTGAAAGGTGCACAGTAGAGGGGTAGCAGCTGTCAAGCTAACTTTGAGCAGGTCCAGTGGTACCAAGTACGGGGAAATACGACTTTCAACCAAGCTGTCCAGCGTGGAACTTACTTCCCTGAGCAGGTCCTACATCAAATCTCTCACCACTCGTGTGTACACAATATCCTGAGGTATGGTTTCAGACAAAGTCTTGATTGCACGTAGAGATTCATTAATCAGAGCCTAGAATAGGTACCAGAGCACCCTGTAAGGTCTTAGTAGGTACATCCTGTTAGCGGTCTAGGAAGGAGTTTCTCTTGGTTAGTGAAAGTGACGGCGGGGGGGGGGGGCCTGGTTCTTTGTCGGTTAGTACATGTTAGTGGGTTAAACGTGCACTTCCCCCCCTTTTTCATTTCCATGCATAGAACTATGTAGAGACTACGTCTACCTCCTGCGGGGAGTCTGGTCTCTGTACCCGCGGGGACGGTTTGACGTAGGGTTTGATTTGGTTTGCATGCACCCATTTGTAGACAGGCTCCTGTCTCGCTTTGGTGATGCGTAACCTGTATGCAACTGGAGAGAGTTTTGCCACGATCTCAAATGGTCCTGACCAGCGGGGCAGGAACTTCTTAGCTTTGCGTGCCGGTTGGGCGAACCGAAAGTAGAATACTTTGTCACCCACCTCGTATTCGCGGCTGGTTGTCTTTTGGTCGTAGTAGGCCTTAGCGCCTTCTACGTTGGTCTCCAGTTTCTTCTGAGCGTGCGCGAACGTAGCTCTGAGGTGTGTTTTCAAGTCTGCCACATACTGATGAGCGGTATAGGCAGTGGCAACACTGACATCCTCTGGGTGATACAGGAGGTGCAGTGGTAGAGTCATCAGTCTGCCGGTCATCATCTCAAAGGGCGTAACCCCCGTGGATCTCTGGGGAGTGGACCGTATGGCCATCAGGACCAGAGGGAGCTTGACGTCCCAGTCCTTCCCCGTGGAGCAGACGCACTTTTTGAGCATGGAGACGACCGTGCGGTTCATCCGTTCGACCTGTCCGGATGACTGTGGGTGATAGGGGAGGTGGAATCTCACTTCCACTCCCAGAAGTTCAAACAGGGACGTCATTACACTGGATGTGAAATGAGTTCCCCGGTCAGAGTCAATGCAGAGTGGAAGTCCCCATCGACTGAAAACGTGGTTAATCAGCAGTACAGCGGTTGTGACGGCTGTATCGTTTGGCGCTGGAAGGCATTCCACCCACTTTGTGAAACTGCAAGTTACAGTTAGCATATATTTGTTTCCTCTTGCCGATTTGGGAACCGGTCCAACCCAGTCGATCTGCAGGTGGGACCAAGGGAAGGTTATTCCCCTGCGTTGCAGTGGTGCTCTAGCAAGCGGCTGGGAGGGTTGAAACTGGGCACAGACGAGGCAGCCTTGGACATAGCTGTGTACGTCCTTGGACA